AAGTCATATTTGAGTTCGTGCCCATCCCTTAGAATGGATTAAATCTTTTCTAATTAAAAGATTTCAGGTCCTACACATAAACGGGGTACTCTGCGACAAACCAGTTTTAAGATGTGGTGTTTCACTGGGTTCAATACTTGGGTCACTTTTGTTTCTAATTACCAACGAGGCATCTGAGCTACGAAGCGAGGATGCTTTGGCGACAGATTCATAATGCCGCGCAATGTATTGGAAAATTTCTTAAATCTGCGTAGCCCTCTTTTTTGCCCATTTTTTTGGGTATTGAAGTCACGGTCTTGCATTTACTCCTTCAGGCTCGAGGCCGGGTGGTCCAGTGTAACTCTGTTAGTTGTGGACTATGGATTGTGTTTGTTGAGTTGTTGCTAACGACCTAACGGGTGAATAAGCTTACGATTTCTTGTTTGCAAAAGGGCTATTAGGGACTTGTCCGAAACTAGCAAGGCGGGAGCGGGGGGGAGGGGGCTATGTTAATCTTTGTAGAACACGTGCGGGGCCAGCCCCGTCTCTGAGGAGAAGATGCGCGAAGCGCGGCCACCAGTACTGCATCATCGAAGAGTCGTCACCCACTATTGGTCTAATTGCAAAACATTCATTCTTACGACCATTTGTTGGTTGTTGTTTGTTTTTCTGTTTGTTGTTTTTTTGTTTTTGGATTGATGGGAAGAGGGAGATGAGAGTTGTTGTTTTTTTTTTTGTGAGGAGAGGGTGGGAGGTGGGGGGTGGGGGAGGGGGGGGGGGGGGGGGGGGGGGGGGTGGGGAATTTTATATTTGGGTTAGGAAATGAGGTGATCCATCCCTACAATGGGAGTAAAATTTGCTAACCCTCCCCTTGAGCTTGGCCTATAATATCATGACCCTCCCCCTCTTGTATAAATGATAAAATCTAATTCTTGCAATACACTAGGGTGAGTCAGTATTATGAAAACTCAAAATATATTTCTAATCTGTTCTTTGTAATACTATATACATACATGTTAGATGACAGCACTAAGAGTCTGACTCTGATTCTGACAGGAATAGTCACTCGACTCTCCTATTTCTCCCAGGTTTTTTTACCAAATACAGAACTTCCTTTTTCTTCTTTTGGTTAACCTCCTGCCTCTACATGATCACGGGCAGATATTTCCATGACCCTCCCCCTTTTAACAGCCCATTTTTCATGACCCCTCTCTTCTCCGAGTCTCAAAACGTTGTGACCCTCCCTCTGTTTCCACCCCCTCCCCCCCTTCTAATTTCTGATAAGTCCCTTAGTGCCTTGTTTTGCAGCGGCTAATCAAGGAATAGGGTTCAACGCTCAAATTTTTCTCAGAACCTCAACCAGCGTGTTTTTTGCACCCTCATTTACATTGAGCCAGCTCTCAACTCCCGTGAGAAACTTAAAAAAATTGTGGACCTTTTGTTTCAGAGACTATCTTTATGAAGGTCTTTTGAAAGACTCTTGTACTGTAACACTCGCCCATTAAATCGAAGCAATTTATTCAAATTTATTTAGTTATACCTCTCATACATACTTCACCCCATTTTCACGCTTTTTACACATTTTACTTTGACACCAGATTTTTTCATATATTTAACTCCACGCGGAATATTTTTCTTATCCCTGATAATGCCGTTGATCGGCCAAAGCTCGGAGTTTAATTTTTATTTTTAATCACAACAGATAAAGGCCTAATTCGAACAATATCATAACTTACTAACGTTTATAGTTTTGATACAATGGAATTAACGATGGAACATAAGAGGTTACTTGCTCCAATTTACCAACGAAGCTTCAATTTATGTTTCTGTTTAATAAAAGTGAAAACCAAGAATGTGCTCAAGTTGTTGTTTCAAACTTGGCTGAAATTTATTAACCATCCTTGTTCGTATTGAAATCTATTTTAAACCTCTCAAATTATGTAACAAATCGCGAAGAACGATTAGGCACATTCCACTACAGTTAAACAAATTCGCCTCGTTGGCACTTGTCGGAAGGTACCCCTAGTATATGAAAATGCATGATCTTAGTGATATGATGGATTATGCTACCAAACGAATGTACGCACCGAGATGACACTTATTCCACTTCCACTGTTTGCAGTATTCCTAAAATACAACAGGATATAAGTGTAGATTTCCGGTATCTTTAAGCCTTTGATACAGTGGATCATGAGCTTCTACTGACAAAATGAATGCAGATTTACGGTATCTTTAAAATAGGCTGATAGCAAACAGGCGTACACTGAGTGCTAAGGTTACCCTAGCAAGAGGTTTACCCTACCGGCCTTGTAAACGCTCTGCTATGGATAAGTCGCCTACCCGGGACAACTTTCCTCCGTCATGCGTGACCAGTAATCGTGATGATTTATTTCATTTTCATTTAATTTTTGCCATTAACCACACACAAATACAACAACAGTATACAGAAATTTATAATACATGAAAGATAACATACACTATTCTAACAAAATTATTTACAAATTAAATGTTTAAAGTGGTTAAAGATAAGAATGATACTTTGAAAAGACATTAAGAAACAAAGCTTAAGGTGGCTCGATACAGTTTTTCAGGGCCAATACCTCCCAAGTTTGAGCATAAACTACGTCGCCATAAACAAATTTTTGGAAAAATTGCCACCACAGTTGTATTAGATAAAGATGAAAGTTTGTTATGATCAGGGTTGTAACGGCATCGGAGTTGTCATAGCAACGAAATGACGCTATTACCTATTTTACTTGTAGCAGTGTATCTCGGCACCGAGAACTGTTCTTCCAAAATCGTTCACGGGAGCTTTTTCCTCCAATAGCAGCCTCGACGCTGGTGAAGTTTAAGCGAAATCTGTAAGAGCGTTATCGAGATATTTTGGGATAAAGTTTTCATGATTAGAAACACAGTAAAAAATGGACAATATTGTTGTTTGGCCGTTATCTGTAGAAAATGAAGCGCTTTTGACATGCAATTTCATCTGATAGTAGTTTCAATCTTTTTAAAAACGTGTGTGAAGGATCATGGAGATAGCTCCTGCCGATTGCTAGAAAGAAGGGTTTTATTAGTATGTATCGAAGCGCTCTTGTTAGCGGTTTTGTAAACATTTTGGTCTTCTTTAAAAAATTAGCGAATAATTTTTAAACCGCTCGATAGATTTTTTTTAAAATTTAAGATTCTTGAGATTAACCTTTCTTTTATATGACCTTTTAGTTTCAAGATTATTGATACATTGTAAGGCAGTAAAATAAGGGCTACAATTCGTTACTTTTTTATCGGAAGTTTCGTTATTAAAAGTATAAGCCTCTCATTATTCAAGGCATTGTCTACCAAGATTCATTTTCACGTGAACAACAGTAACTAACAATGCATTTGACATATGCAAAAATGCTAGCTATTGTTATGCGCGAAAATATGAAACTTGGTGACAATACCCTGAATAATGAGAGGCTCACATTTGTAAACACAAAATTTCTGCCAAAATATTGGCGAATTGTAGCCCTTATTTTACTGCCTTACACTATATCAATAATCTTGAAACTAAAGGGTCATGTAAAAGGAAGGTTAATCTCAAGAATCTTATTTTAAAAAAAATATATATCGAGTGGTTTAAAAATTATTCGCTAATTTGTTACAGTAGACCAATATCTTCAAAAACCGCTAACAAAAAGCGCCTCGATACATACTAATCAAATCCTTCTTTCTAGCAATCGGCTGGAGCTATCTCCACGGTCTTTCACACACGTTTTTAAAAAGATTGAAACTATTATCAGGTGAAATTGCATGTTAAAAGCGCTTCATTTTCTACAGATAACAGCCGAACAACAAGATTATCCATTTTTTACCGTATTTCTAACCACAAAATCTTGATCCCAAAATATCTCGATAACGCTCTTACAGATTTCGCTTAAACTTCAAGAACATCGAGGCGGCTATTGGAGGAAAAAGCTCCCGTGAATAATTTTGGAAGAACAGTTCTCAGTGCCGAGAAATACTTCTGTAAGTAAAACAGGTAATAGCGTCATTTCGTTGCTATGACAACTCCGATGTCATTGCAACCCTGATCATAAAAGATTTTCATCTTTATCTAATACAACTGTGGGGGCAATTTGTCCAAAACTTTGTTTATGGCGACGTAGTTTATGCTCAAACTTGGGAGGTATTGGCCTTGAAAAACTGTATCGAGCCACCTTAATTAATATACAGAGATCGGCACTGAATTTGAACTGGAGTGACATAAAAGTCAAGACAAAGAATTGACAACGTTGTTTATAAATAAATTTAATGTTTCAGACTTTAGAACAAGATTTTTTTTTTTCGACTTATCATACGCTTAGAACATGGTTCGAGTTATAGAGGGTAAAATTATATGGAAATTACCTGAAGGGAAACAAAAATTACTTCGAGTTAGCGGGAGGTTCGAGTTATCGAGGGTTCGAGTTACCGAAGGTAAAATTAGAGTAAATGCCTAAAGGAAATCCACGAGAAATAGACTTCGGTTCAAGTTAGCCCATTTTGTCTTTTCCACTCAGAACAGGATGCGAACCTTTTCTTCAATTACATCAAGAATCAACACCCTAATATACACTTTAACATGATGCGGGAAACTGACCATGTTCTACCTTTCCTAGATGTTTTAATCAACAACAGGGACCCACACCTAAGTGTGCCCACCGTTTACCGGAAAATACTTTCACAAGTTTGCTCACCAGTTATCTGAGTTTCTGCCCCTTTACCTACAAATTGGGGTTAATCAAAACCTTGATTGATAGAACCTTTAAGAACTTTTAAGCCCAAGGAACACCTAAGTTCTATTTTAAAATGAGTTTTTTTTGCATGAGAATCAAAAATCATTTTCATATCAGTAGCTTCGCACTTAGCCTCACTCTGAAACCGAGGCTTGGGACAATTCCGAAATGGCCTACTGCGCGTCACCAACCTCATTACCACGGTCCTCTCTCTTTCTTCCTCGAGAAAAGAGGTCGAAGCGTCTCTCTCTTCGCTGAAAGCGTTCTTCACGAACGTTCAGCTTTTCTGTTATGTGCTATCACGTTGTTTGTAACAGGAACTAACAAAGACTGAAGCCCAAGAAATCGTGCGTCTTTTACAGGAGATGGCAAAAAGCTTGGACAGCTCAACTCTGAATTCTTCCTCAAAAGGTTGGTAACTTTTTCTCTCTTCAAAATGCCGCTGACTGCTCTTTGTTTACAAACGATTTCGTCCACACGAGCTTTCCAAATATTGGAATACTTCTGAGCTTCAAAAGGGTTGGAAAGAGAAGGAACAAAGCATGGCCGCGTGAGCGCGCTATCAGAAATTTTGTTGATCGACATTCTTGATCTTGGATGGCCACTTCCTTGACGAGAAGGCTTTGATTGACTATCTTCTTTTTTATCGGAATCTGTTATTTGCTGTACAGCAACCTGATTACTTCCTTCCCTTTGTGGAGCGTCGAGCTGTGTTTTTGCAACCACCAATGCACAAGTCTGACATCTCTTTCCGAACTGACGGACGTCGCCAGGGACGGTCCGGTTTGACCGGTTTGGGCAGTCCACGAATGAGTGCCGAATAAATGGCGTCAAGCAATCAGGGGTAATCGAGCCGCTTTTTTCTCTCTCTTTATCCACTTCTGTCACTGTGCCGAGCTCACTTTCTGCATTCATCAATTTATCATTTAGGTAAATTTTTACATCAGTAGCCAAAGTTTTCTTCCTCAAAGTGGTTTTAGGGACATTTAGACACACTGTTTTGGCGGTATCTTGTGAAGGTTCTTTGCGACTCGTTGCTCCTGTTTCTTGGTTTTGATCCGGTTGTTTGTAAAGTTTAGTTCGCCCGTTTCTCTTTCTAGCAGTAGAAACTCTCCGCGGTTGGGTAAAATTCGTTGTCATGCTTTTTTTTGTTCCTTTAGATGTACTAGTTGATCTAACGAACGAGGTGATTCGAGTTTGTCTGAATTCTTCTCTCGCATCATAAACTTTGCCACAGAACTCATTCTTCCACCTTCGTTTATGTATCTCAAGGCCTTCCAGCTTGTCTATCAGAACCCTTGTTTCCTGAGGGTTTTTCTTTAAAATGGCTTGGCCCACTTTGCTAACTGAAACATTGTGGATGGTTTCGCAGGCCAACTTTCTCTCCACTGTCTTTTTACGGTTCATAGTTAGTGCGTATAGTTATCGGTCAACAATGTCTCGACATCAACAAGACAATTTGTTTACAAAATGATATATTTTCCAGTGTACATGTGTAACTAAGAGCCACTGTTAATTACTCGTTTACAAGATCATTAACACCTTACCATTTTACGCCGAAATATCAACTTACACTTTCTCTATACTGCTATAACAATAATGGAATTTATATAGCGCTTATACAACGCTGTTCTAAGTGCTGTTCTAAGCGCTGCTCTACGCACATTTCACATGCTACTCACAGGAAGAATTTGTTCAAAAATCAACACACTGTATTTTTGCGAATCATTCGCTATATTTTGATCACTTTTTGTCCAGTTACTGTTAGGCAATGATATCATAAAGGAGATAACATGTTGATCCGGGGGGCAAGGGGTTAGGTAAACCTAAAGTACGATGTAATTAGTGAGTACAATTTATCACTTGATTAACCGGTAATTGAGTGCTAAAACGTTTTTGTATCTACTTTTACAAAAAATAATTACAAAAAAAAAAAAAAAACTACGGAGAACAAAAGCTTCAGACAACAAGTCGTACAATACCCTAAAATTCAGGATATAGGTAAAACCCCGATTTTTATTTTCCTTTTACTAAAAACATAGGGGTGCACCTATCTTGGTCCTCGCCACAACTCATTCCGAAATTAATCACTCCCCTTTTTCTAAAAAGTATACCTCTATAACAAAACTACATTTACGTCAATCCAAACCTCCCGCCTCCCGTATCTTACATCCCCGGCTCCCGCGCCTTTTCTCTTGGCTTCCTCCCTTTAGCCCTTTTTCGATTGCGAAATATTGCGTAATTCTCCCTACTTCTCCCACTTCTCACCCTTTTAGAACTTTTTCTCTCCCACCTCCTGTACCCATTCTGTCCCTTATTCTCCAGGACATCCACACCCTGTCCTCCCACACTTATTTTTCCAACCATAATTCAGAGGACGAGGAGCACCTGACATCCGGCGAAGACGTTGCCCGCCCCGCATTAGCCTCCGGAACGTAACGCGTTACGTTTGCCCCGCCTTCCTTCCCCCCGTCGCGCGTGTCTCGCGCTCCACGTTTGCTTCATGTTTACCTGAAAAACGCAAAAAAAGCGCCAGTTCTTGCAGGCTGGCCCCATCTCAAACCTCATCACCCCTCATTTCTCTCTGTGAGGCGCATCTCAGTAACATGAATACATGGAGTTTCATCTTGATTTCCGCTCGTCTTTCCCTTTCCTTCCATTGGGAAAAAATTAGCTAAGAAACACATGTGAAGACGTCCCTCTCGATTTTCATTCCGTTGACATCTTCACTTCGAAAGCGGGCGCCGTTAATCATAGGTACCCTTCACCTAGATAGCGTTCTCGGTTTTATATGCATAGCTTAGTTCATTATAACTTATATTTTCTATTTCCCTGCTGATCTCATCATTTTCAGTGACCACAGGCCTCTACTACACGACAGACTCTGTCTCTTCCCTTGGCGTTAGTTTGTAGAACGTGTCACGCTGTTTTGGTCTTTGCAAAGGATGGGCAAGTAACGCAGCCATGTGGTCAAACAAACGTGTAGTACTGCGTGACACCTCTAGGATGTAGCCTTCTTCTTCTTCATCCATGTCACAGAAGTAATCATAGACTTCCTGCAGAGGAAGCAGGTAAAAGGATCAGGGAGTTACCCGTCCGGGGGTATACTCAACAAAGTTTTATACGCGGAGGATTTGCCCCGAGGTCCAATCCCTTACCCTTTTATATACCAAAGGTACCCCTTTTGTATAACTTACATTGACGAATGGTGACCTTTTCGAATACATGTACCTAGTTTAGAAATTTGCACCTCTTTAAACTGCTCGAACCACACTTTCTTTTAAATATGAATCAATCAAAAAACTAAAAAATTTTCTCGATTTCAGTCTTTTTGGGAGCCACAGAATCTTTCTGTAGCCCTTTTAAGCCATTTAATCAGTAGAAACGGCGTTATAGAAATAAAGATGATGATGACGATGATAATTATTTTTATTATTATTGTCAGAACTCTGAGGAACCAGAATGAATCACACTCAGTGGAACAGTATTCCTCAAAGTGTCCGAGTACTCCCTAAACACAAATTTAAGGCTTCTTTACATTAGCTTCTTTTACATATTTTAGAATTGGACGATACTCATGTTGACACCAAAAAACTTAGGAAGATGACATAAAATGTAAAATAAGTTTGTGATTTTGTTATGTTGTATCGTAATAACTTCAGTCAATCTTCTTGTGTCCTCAATCTCTTCCCAGTGAATTACTTTATTTTTCCCTCTGCCCACCTCGATTAGCCAAGCTATACGCGAGCTGAGGATTTTTGCATGCACATGTACATTTATGGTTAATTCATGTTTGTAACCTAAAAACAGTCAAAAATTCCAACCGGAAAAATGCGACAGCTATACAGGTATGTTGCAAATGAATCCACCCCATATTAGATAATTCTTCCGTTTAATCCTAAACCTGATAGGTTAAAGGGGCTGTGTCACGGCAGTCCAGTTCATTTTGTTTGATTTTGCCAATTACTCGTCCTCAATCGCTATGGAACTTAAAGTAGGCAAAGAAATTAAGGACGGGTAAATGACAAAATCAAAGATCCGAGACAAACAAATATGTCTCCTGAGCATTATTTTTGAATTTGCAAGCAGCAGGGATCAACTTTGAAAAACTGTTAGGCTGCATAGTTTTCAAAAACCCTAATTTTAATCCTTTTCAATCTTCTTCAGTTTTGCCCATCCGTGGCACCTGTTGTTTCTGTTATGTTATTTTAACCTTCCTTTAAAGTTTTAAGTGGTTATTTTTATGTTTCTCCTAATTTAATGGGCATTTTTAAATTTCCTAATTTGGCTGAATTTCGTGAAACAGCTCCTTTAGAAAACCTGTTTTGAAAATTTTACAGTAACATTCATACTAAGTATAAGTATAAGTCTTATACTACTCACTTTGCAAAGGTTAAGCTCAGATGGTAGCTCATGAACGTACAATACATCAAGAAAGAAATATGGTGACACCAGTAGTGATGACAATATCTGAAACAAATAAAACATGAAAATGTTGATTTTATAAATAATAATTATCAATAAAATAATTATTATTTTGAATAACAAAGGCTTAACTTTCCTAAATATCCAGTAAAGCATTATTCTCCAGCAAGTTTGCCAAAAACGTGCTTTGAAGGTAATCAAGCTGTTTGGCCCAACAACGTTGGGAGTTGTTTTGTCCGTGTTTGCAGTAGTGTGCAAATGGATGCAACATTGCTGCACTATGCTTTGGCAATCATGGAACAAAAGAAATGTTGGGAGTTGTTGGCGTCAAACTTTGAACCATTTCAAGCTTTGTGCAACAACTCCCAACAACACGCAACAACATGCAACACTGGGTGTCCAAACGGATGCAACATGTACAGTAACCTCCAAAAATGTTCCATCTGTTCGCATGGGATTTTAGATGACAAAGTTGCCCTGACTGTTAAAACTGATTACATCATAAGGGGTACAACAGATGTGGATCCGCATTGGCCTTAACGCCCAGTTCAGCGGCAAATGGGTTAAGCAGTAGATACATAAACATCTACTACCTGCTAAAAGACATAACATTAATTGGCAGAACAAAGACATGAACAAACCTGCTTGCCTTCTGGGGACAATTTGGGCATGCACAGCGAGCGTCCATACACTAAAATAAGTCGAAACACACAAGGAGGAGGAAGCAAGATGTCTTCTACTTCTGGTAAACTAATGTTTTCCTTGCTGATAAGGAGAAGAACATGCCTAAGATTAACAATGTACTACCTGACATTGAAAAACTTATTTATAAAAAAAGACTTAAATAATGAATGAGTGACTGGGAAACAGCCAGTAACAGTATCTTCTGATGCAAGTTTAGATTCTCCCTACACATTTTACTTCATTTCCTGTAAAATGAAGGGAGAATTTGAAAAAAAATCACAAGTTTCATGTACTTAGGATTTTTTCCATCTACCCTCATAATATTATTACTTACATTGCTTCAAAGAGGTCGCACATATCTAAGGAAAAGTCAAGGTTCTTTAAAATGGACACAATTCACAAGACAATTTAATGGATTCAATAGAATTTTGTGTGGCCTACCCTGAAGCTCCAAAAAAATGTAAACAGTTCAAGTGTTACAATATGCTACAGGGTGCAAAGAAAGTCATTTTTACAGCTTGCCATTCGGGCAAGCTGAAGCTAACATTTACTAGCCCAAACATCATTTCAACTAGCCCCAAAAACGTTTTGATGAGCAGATTGATTTCACAGTTTTTCTGTAATTTATATTCCTCAAAAAACTTCACTTGCCCGTCGGGCAAGTTGATAACAGAATTCACTCGACCAACAGCAAAATCTAGTAGCCCCGGGCTATCAGACACTACTTTCTTTGCATGCTGTGCTAGAATAGACGCTGGCCAGACACCATGAAAAACATGTCAAAATGCCGCTAACAAGACTATAGCTCCTTGTTGTTAACAACATTAAATTTCATTTAACTGCATTTAATTTTGAACATTTACATATATATGCATTTTATTACAAAAGAAAATGCTTGCTACTATTGCTATGCCCATAATACACCTTGTTTGCCCCACAAAATTTTGCATAAGCTTTGTCTTGAATTTCTCTTGGGATGACTATAATGCCCAGTGGAAATTTGAAAGGGTGGTTAATGCAATCAATGTTGGGAGTCAAACAAAGTGTATCATGGACAATGTTAAAGTGGCAAAAATATATGTAATGACTAAAGATCAACAAGAACTACATGATCTACAAGATAACTTTTTCTCACACACAACTGGGAGCCATGTGAAGCTGGCCATGCAGCCCGAACTTTATCATATCAACACCACAATTCATTAGTGTTTCAGCACAGAAAGAGAGCTAATAAAATGGCTGACATGAAAGTGAGCCTAGATATAAGAATAACCAGAAATCAGGCAAAACTTGAGATC